CCATCTCCATTGAAGGAGTCAAACAACACGGCTGGGGTAGTGGTGGCTGAACCCCCTAAAATGGCATGCAGCTCATCATAGAAGCCCTGGAGTGAGTGTGAGATGGAAGACGCGAATCAGCTGTTCCCTCGGTCTCAGTTCCGGCATGCCTCTCATAGTGTGAGCATCTCGCAGCGCTGAGTTTGATTCTAGTGTTTAAAGATACATATTTTTCATACAACATGGCCCCAAATGCAAGCCAACTACTTCATCTGGTGCTCAACCGAAGAAACAGTGATCTGTTCCAACGTGGGAGGAAAAACCAGCTGTGTTGGACTTACTGAGAGACAGTATGTCGGTCTCCAACGTGGCGCGTAAACATAGCCGCAATGAATCTAGCATCCATACTATCAAGATTCGAGAGAGAGAAATTCGTCAAACAATGGCATCAAGTGCTCCAATAACTCCTAAGGTGACAAGCCAGGTGCGTGATAAGACTTTAGTGAAGACTGAAAAGGCGTTAAACTTATGGCTGGAAGACATGAACTGTAAACGTGTGCCTATCGATGGCAACACATTGCAAGAAAAGGCTCTTAGCCTCTACGTGCTGTTCAAACCTCCCGCCGAAGAGGGACAGCCTTCTGATGAGAAGGAATTCAAAGCCAGCCAAGGTTGGCTTAATGCTTTTAGGAACTGCGTCAACCTCAAAAACGTGCAGACTACTGGTGAAGCTGCATCTGCCAGTGAAGAGGCAGCAAAAGCCTGCCCCGAACGATTAAAGAAAATCATAGAAGAAAAGGGCTATTTTCTAGAACAAGTTTTTAACGCGACGAGATTGGGCTCTTCTGGAAAAAACGCCCAACCGCACTTACATTCCAGAATCAGAAAGACAAGCCCCTGGCTTCAAAGCAGCTAAAGACTGTGTGACTGTTGTTTTGTGGCCATGCGACTGGGCTTGCTCTACAGGGCTGCAAATTCCCGTGCCCTAAAAGGCAAGAACAAAAATATCCTGCCTGTGTTCTAGCAATCAAATAAAAAGGCTTGGGTGATGGCAGCATTATTTCTGTATTGGTTCCACAAGTCAAGCGGTATCTCGAAGAGAAAGGACTTGACTTTAAAGTGTTGCTGATCATAGACAATGCTTCTGGCCACCCTGCGGCACTCCGGTTTGCGCATAATGACATTGAAGTAGTCTCTCTTGCCCCCAATACCACCTCCATCCTCTTGACCGAGGCGCGATTCGCTGTTTCAAGGCCACATACACGAGACTTACGTTCTCATGGATACGTAGCGCTATGGATGCTGATCCCAATCTTAATGTGATGGAGCATTGGAAGACCTTCAACTTTGCCAATTTCATCACTTATATTAAATAGGCAATGGCGCCAATCAAGCCTGAAACAGTCAATGCATGTTGGCGAAACCTACGGAAAGAATGTGAATGATTTTAAGGGTTTCCCGACCATTGACAAAGAAGTGAAACGCATTGGTCAGGTGGCCAGGCAAGTGGGTGGTGATGGCTTCATCAACATCCTAGAGGAAGAAATTGAAGAATTAATTGAGGGCCATAGAGAAACATTGACTAACGAAGAGTTAGAGGAACTGATAAAATGGTCTACAGAGATGACGACGACAAACAGGAAGAGCCAGCAAAGTTGGAATCTTCATAAATTTGTTGAAGTGTTCCAAGCAGCGAAACACTTGAATGATTTAATTTCTGAATATGATCCCTCTATGGAACGAAGCCTGAAAAGTCACATAGTATTACGGACTATTTGAGACCGTATCAAGAAATGTTTGAGCAGCTCAATAGACAACAGCGACAGTTGTCTATCACCATGTTTTTCAAGGAAAAACACAATCAGCAGCAGATGAGCCTATGCAATCAACTTCTCGAGCTGAACCAGAGCCAACCACTTCGTCTGTGACTCGCTCTCCATCACCCAAGCTCTCCATCACCTGTCTCCTAGATCGACATCAAGCCCTGATGACCCCCCTATAATTACCCCCGTAATTAAAAATACAGTATTGTAAAATTATATTTTGCATATGTACTCTATTATATACTGTACATTACATTATATATTCTACTATACAGGATTGTATACACAAAACCATGTACAGTATACTGTACATTATGGGCAATTTAAGGGATTTTCCAGGGTAATTTTGACTATACGCGATTTTCGCCTTACGCACAGACTTCAGAACTTAAACCCCGCGTAAGATGCAACTCCACTGTATGCATCTTTCAAATCAAGGTCATAAACCAGTCACATGAATAGAGGGAGGGTATTAAAGGCCAATTTAAAGTTCCTTGAGAAAAAGTTCTTTCCTACATGAGGGAGTGGTATGGGCTCTATTGTCCCCAATTAAAGGAGGAAGTCAACCTCCTGTTTGAGAATCCTCTTATGGGAGAGGTCCCTGAAGACAGAGGTCAGAGAATAGGGAGAATGGTAGCCATTTAATACAACATCCAGGACCCATTTGTCCATTGTAATAGTGCACCACATTGGAAGAAAATGGGCCATGTAGTCACTGCAGGGTGTGGTAGCAGGCATTGTGGAGTGTCGACCCTCAGCTGGGACATCAAAAATGACTTTTGAAGAGGTGGCAAAGTGCCTATCTCACTGCATCCTCTAATTTCATGGGGGGTTCATATGTCCTTTGTTGAAGCAAGGAAGGATGAAGGCAGTGATTGATGTTGAGATGGAAATGGCCTGAAATATTTGCTTCAGGGTGGCAAAGTATAAACATCCAGAGAGCAGTAGGTAGCTCAAGCGTCTTTGAGGGTATCCAGCAATTCGTTAGTTTTGTCACTAAAGCGCTTGCTATCCTCAAAGGAAAATTCCTCCATGGTGATTTGGATTCCTCTGGAGAACCTGAAGGCCTACAGGCACAAAGTCCATCTCATGACTACTGAGGTAGTCATTGGAGTGTGACACTGTCAAGGGATGCCTGGAGGAAAGATCCTGTAACTAGTTTTCCCTCATCCAGGATAACCAGAACCGAAGCCTGCAATCCTCAGAGTGTTTGTTCTCTAACACTGACAGCTTGTTGTAATTCAAAAAGTCACAACTGAACAACAAAACCATGGTAATTTGCCATTCAGAATGCTAAGCTAGCTGAAAAAACCATCTTCCTTCCAAAGAGGTCAAGTCCTTTGGCTGTAGTGTATTTTGGCTGGTGTAGCTGAGTTCTTTCTATAACCACTTGGGAATTGGAATTAAGGTCTTAAAACAGGAATTCCGCTCCCTTGGGAAGAATAAAGAGGCATTTCTCAGCCCTCTTTGGCATCTGGGCACAGGTGACAGCAATGTGCCAGTTCACTCTGGCAGGTTCCATGATGGCCTCATTAATTGGGGATGCCACTTCAGAAGGAACCATAGCCTAGAGGACGTCCAGGAGTGTGTGGGCTGCATCCTAGACCTCTTTCAGTGGAATCTGGAGAGAGTCTAATTCTCCCAAGAAGGTCCTGGTACTGTTTAAAATTATTTGGGGGGTGAGGGAAAGGCTGATAATACTGCCTCACTGGGACAGGATGAAGAGAGTGACACTGGTGGCTCTGGTAGCACCAGCAGTTCTGGCCAATCCTCCATCCACTGCTCCTGTGGGGACTGCAGTTCTCCATCTGGTGGTAACCACTGCTGGGTGTGGAAAATAGGGTCCTCCTATTCAGGTGCCCAGAAATATGGAGCGAAGGGCCCAAAAAGGATGATGGGCTGGGCTGTCAGGGTATGGAGGCAGACCCCACAATGGGCATCATTGGTCCCTGGGCCACACTTGCTGATGGTGAGAATGCAACGGCCAGAAGAGTGGATCTGGAAGCCCTGTCTAGGTTGATAGCTCTCTATCAGGAATCTGGAGGGATGAGTATCAGTTTGTTTTCATCCAATGAACAGTCCTGCCCCAACACTATATAGGAGTGGCCACTTTAACAACATGTAACTTACTTTACAATTGAACACATATACCTAGCACTTAATACAAGACTTGACCACCGTTCTGTATATGCAAGCAAAATACTACGTGCTTTAGCACAACCACAGCTAGACAGCTTTATAAGCTAAGTAACTAACATGATATATTAGTAGACAATTTGATATGAGCTATTTTCACTGTCATTAAACAGTGGAAATGCACTTGTGAAAAATATTTAATGTATTATTCTACATCAGGTTTGGTTTTCATATGCTCTTATCTTTAAACTGCACACACAGCTACTTTAAATAGACTATTTAAAATTCAGCCTGCCATGGTGATTTAGTTTTCTTTTATCTGTTTCTGCATGCAGTAAAGCCAGACGTTCAGCATAAATTCTCCAAAAAAGCATATGTAGAAATAAGAGAAACCACAATACAGGTTTTTCCAAGAAGTCTGATATGGGTTTGGTTGTATAAGAATACTTGTGTAAAATAAGAGAAGGATAAGCCAACGTATCAAGTGCCTGACATCCTTCATACTGGTTTCAGAGTAACAGCCGTGTTAGTCTGTATTCGCAAAAAGAAAAGGAGTACTTGTGGCACCTTAGAGACTAACCAATTTATTTGAGCATAAGCTTTCGTGAGCTACAGCTCACACACTGAACCCACCACAGAGCACTCTCTGGTACTCTGCTTCATTATTTATGAGGATTGGACATCTTCTGTGTCAGGTACCCTTGCTACCCTCAGATTTTTCAGCAAGTGCTTTGTTAACTTTTTGTTCTTGGGTTACCTTAAAGATAAACTACTTAGCCATTCATGTTTGTAAGCAAATTGAAAAAAATTACTGCCACTGCCACCAGTGTCAGACAGTAATTCATTCATTTTCTTTTATACAAAAAGGTTGAAACTTACAATAAAGTAGATTTTATTAATTTCCCTTAGAAATATGCCACTCATTTATACAGTAGTTTGGAAGATTGGTTTTTTTTAAAGCTGATCTGCTTAAACAATTTATAGTCATAAAATATGCACAGTGAGAGAGGTTTTGCCATCCTAAGTTTAAGAGGCTCTACTATGGTACTATGCCAAACTTACGCTGGCCTGTCTTCTAGAATAAGCGCTGTGGTGGAGAGGGGTTCAAAGTCAAGATTTTTCCTCACATTCTGTTTAGGAGAGAGTGGCTTGTGAGCTCGTCCAGTTTTTTCTTCATATTCCTGCACAAAAAGAATATAATTGGTTACACTGATGGAGAATATCAAAGCCATGCACTGTATCGCAACAGCTACAGAAACATGCAAGATGAGAACACTTTCAGGAAAACTTATGAAACCTTTCTGTACAACTTATAATCAAACTCCAATTATTTAAAAAAATGTCTTGAATCAAAGCCAATAGTAATCCCCCAAAGTGAAGACAACACTTGAAATTGTATTGAGTAATGGTCTAATTCCCTTCATTTTTAAAAAATTAGTCTAAATTTACTTCCGCAAGTAATATTTTAAAAACTCAAGCTGAAGACACTGTATGAGCCGTTGCTAAGAGTGATACTTGAATATGCTAAAATAATTTATGCTCATCTTTAAGATTTGACCTATCAATGAAGTGCAGAAAAATAACTATTTCATGACTGCAGACTTCCAGACCAAAATTCTTTAAAGCAATAAACACTTCGTCTTTATATCTTGCTATAAACTATTTCTCCTACTCAAACCATTTGTAAATATAGCCAAGCAGAATGAAGAAAAAATATGTTAATTGTGGTTAAACAGAAAACCTATTTGTTGCTTATTTCATCTTGAAATTGTTTCTATTAGACCAAAGGTTCTAAACTTTAAGACCCAGCATAGTACCATGTCTAAAACTCAAATTACCTTAATATTTTTTTTTAAATGTAATTTTAATGGATCCTTATTCTGATAAACCAACCCATGTACCACCCTACTATGGCATGTGAACCAGTGAGTTAGGCATATCACCCATGATGGTAGTCTACAAATAAAGCTAATTTTAAAGTGTTCGTATTTGGTCAAGTAGTACTATGAGAAAAAAAAAGTAAAAATGACAAATACTTAATGTGTTAAATTCTTACAATGTAGTCTGCCACCTCACAAATTCAACACTATCTGCAAAATCTGAGTGCTATAAGCAAGTAATTTGTGGGTGCTTCCATGAACAGGGTTTCATCCATGAGACTTCTACATTCTCATTGATACAAACTTCTTGCAAAGAATACTGAAAGGCCGATTTATTTATTTTAAAACCACCATGTAAACTATATAGAAAACCACTAAGAAAATATTTTTAAAAGGTCCTGGTACAACTGAAGTAGGCTAGGTCATTCAGGATTTCCAAAGTAGGTTCCTAATTTACTGAAAGGCATGAAAAAGTACTACTTTTTTTAAAATTATTATTTTTAAATGCAGCATCTTTGCTCTCACTGCTGAAACAGATGCATAATAATGTGACAATGTGTCTTAGCTCCATCTACATACTACAGACCACATTAATAGAAAACTGCTACATTTCTGCTAATGGTCTGCCATAAGACAGCTGCAACACACCAGAAACCAACATTTTTAACACTCTGCCTCGGTCTCAGCTGTGTGTATAACCATTCATATTTGCACCAAGAGGGAAGGCCAAAGGTGTTCTCTCAAACTCCCATCCCTTATTCCTTCATGCTTCTGCCATGCTGAATCAGAAAAAAAGTTATATAATTATTACATGTGATCTGGACCTGGTATCTGAGATTTTTAAGTAATATGAGAAGTGGTAGGGAGAAAAGAAGCACTTGGAAACTGCCCATAGAGAAGACAGGACACTGCAGGACAGTGGAGCTGTTAGGCCAAAGTTGGAGAAATCCCCAGTTTTCCTGATTTAGGAACACAAATTGCCATACTAGGTTAGACCAACAGCCTGAGATTACCAATACCATATGCTTCAGAGGACGACGCAAAATACTCTGCAATAAGCAGTTATTTATTAACCTGTGTATAGGGAAACTTTATTCCTAATTCCCTTCTCAAAGGTGGTTTCTTCCCCCAAAGCCTGAGGGTTTCCATCAACTGCAGTGGATACAGAGGTATTTGTAACTCTCTTGCCAAACAAGTTTCATGTTTCCACAGCTGTATGAATGAAAGGAAGCACATTATGATCCATCTGGAAAATCATGGTGCTATCTGAGGTCAATTTCTAATATGTTAAATACCACTGTTGTATTAGTTTGACTTCTAAGGAGTAGCAGCCACCAGACTGATTTAAACCATCACGAACAGTATTTATGTATTGGCTATTTAAGGGAGCAAGTTTGTACAGACTAAGCTCTTCTTTATGAAAAACTATATCCAGAGAGTAGAGAAGAGGTACAAAGAAACGAGCCACAGGTCGAGACACTAACAGATTACATACTTGGAAACCCAAAAGATAAAATAAAGTTACTAGTCTTAAAATTTTAAGAAAACCTGGAAAATACTGACTGTAATGGAGATAGAAATGCATTAAAAGGCACAATGCCAAAACATGTCCTCAATTACACCATCATAAATCTGGAGTACATTAGTTTTATTCTGTTGAATGAATCATAGAATCATAGAATATAAGGGTTGGAAGGGACCCCAGAAGGTCATCTAGTCCAACCCCCTGCTCAAAGCAGGACCAATTCCCAGTTAAATCATCCCAGCCAGGGCTTTGTCAAGCCTGACCTTAAAAACCTCTAAGGAAGGAGATTCTACCACCTCCCTAGGTAACGCATTCCAGTGTTTCACCACCCTCATAGTGAAAAAGTTTTTCCTAATATCCAATCTAAACCTCCCCCACTGTAACTTGAGACCATTACTCCTCGTTCTGTCATCTGATACCATTGAGAACAGTCTAGAGCCATCCTCTTTGGAACCCCCTTTCAGGTAGTTGAAAACAGCTATCAAATCCCCCCTCATTCTTCTCTTCTGCAGGCTAAACAATCCCAGCTCCCTCAGCCTCTCCTCATAACTCATATGTTCCAGACCCCTAATCATTTTTGTTGCCCTTCGCTGGACTCTCTCCAATTTATCCACATCCTTCTTGAAGTGTGGGGCCCAAAACTGGACACAGTACTCCAGATGAGGCCTCACCAATGTCGAATAGAGGGGAACGATCACGTCCCTCGATCTGCTCGCTATGCCCCTACTTATACATCCCAAAATGCCATTGGCCTTCTTGGCAACAAGGGCACACTGCTGACTCATATCCAGCTTCTCGTCCACTGTCACCCCTAGGTCCTTTTCCGCAGAACTGCTGCCTAGCCATTCGGTCCCTAGTCTGTAGCTGTGCATTGGGTTCTTCCGTCCTAAGTGCAGGACCCTGCACTTATCCTTATTGAACCTCATCAGATTTCTTTTGGCCCAATCCTCCAATTTGTCTAGGTCCTTCTGTATCCTATCCCTCCCCTCCAGTGTATCTACCACTCCTCCCAGTTTAGTATCATCCGCAAATTTGCTGAGAGTGCAATCCACACCATCCTCCAGATCATTTATGAAGATATTGAACAAAACCGGCCCCAGGACCGACCCTTGGGGCACTCCACTTGATACCGGCTGCCAACTAGACATGGAGCCATTGATCACTACCCGTTGAGCCCGACAATCTAGCCAGCTTTCTACCCACCTTGTAGTGCATTCATCCAGCCCATACTTCCTTAACTTGCTGACAAGAATACTGTGGGAGACCGTGTCAAAAGCTTTGCTAAAGTCAAGAAACAATACACCCATTGCTTTCCCTTCATCCACAGAACCAGTAATCTCATCATAGAAGGCGATTAGATTAGTCAGGCATGACCTTCCCTTGGTGAATCCATGCTGGCTGTTCCTGATCACTTTCCTCTCATGCAAGTGCTTCAGGATTGATTCTTTGAGGACCTGCTCCATGATTTTTCCAGGGACTGAAGTGAGGCTGACTGGCCTGTAGTTCCCAGGATCCTCCTTCTTTTCCTTTTTTAAAGATTGGCACTACATTAGCCTTTTTCCAGTCATCCGGGACTTCCCCGGTTCGCCACGAGTTTTCAAAGATAATGGCCAATGGCTCTGCAATCACAGCCGCCAGTTCCTTCAGCACTCTCGGATGCAACTCGTCCGGCCCCATGGACTTGTGCACGTCCAGCTTTTCTAAAAAGTCCCTAACCACCTCTATCTCCACAGAGGGCTGGCCATCTCTTCCCCATTTTGTGATGCCCAGCGTAGCAGTCTGGGAGCTGACCTTGTTAGTGAAAACAGAGGCAAAAAAAGCATTGAGTACATTAGCTTTTTCCACATCCTCTGTCACTAGTTTGCCTCCCTCATTCAGTAAGGGGCCCACACATTCCTTGGCTTTCTTCTTGTTGCCAACATACCTGAAGAAACCCTTCTTGTTACTCTTGACATCTCTGGCTAGCTGCAGCTCCAGGTGCGATTTGGCCCTCCTGATAACATTCCTACATGCCCTAGCAATATTTTTATACTCTTCCCTGGTCATATGTCCAACCTTCCACTTCTTGTAAGCTTCTTTTTTATGTTTAAGATCCGCTAAGATTTCACCATTAAGCCAAGCTGGTCGCCTGCCATATTTACTATTCTTTCGAAGCTGAAAGCTGTTTCGAAGCTGTGTAACAACCAAACGCCACTCCCTCTCCCAATTTCTCTATCAATTACAAGCCTGCATTTTATTCTTATATGACAAAATTAGTTGTTTTTGAAAATGAACATTAACATATATTACTGCTTCCAATGGTCAACTGATCCTTGATCCTAAATTTACAACATTTTAATTGTTTGGATTATTACTAATAGAAAGCACATTAAATTAAGTTAAGAAGAAATTGAAGATGATGTATGGAACTCGTATATTGCTCTTCCTAAAGCATACACAGAAGACAGACTAAAAAAACATCAACACAATTTTAAAAAGGAATGAGAATTAAGTGCCCTGCTTTATGGAATTTGTGAAAAGATATGTTTTAGAAAGGGTTTGCATTCATTTGAAGAGGGACTGAAAAACAGCTGCTTCTGGGAGGTTTAATGGACTTTACATAGTGTTCTGGAGTGGGGATTTTGTTTTCTGTGTAGAAGAACCAATTCTGAAAATACTTCATTCACTCAAGACCCAATTTTTTTCCAGCCCAACATCTCTTTCCACTACACACACACACACACACACACAGTTACTATATAAATATTATATTGAAATACAAACAAGTTTTATTTTA